AAACTATGATATGAACATCGATCAATCAACAAACACTTAACAACAACACCAATTGTCCCACAATAATTTATAGATTAATAGTTCTCTAATGATTATTTTACTATGTATTATTGGTTTTATATGTAAGAATGAATAAAAACTATATTATTATTATTTTTGTTTTTTTATTAACCCTAACTATCTTCACATGAAAAAATGTTATTTATTACTATTTATTAACTATTAACTATAATATCATTTTATTATAGTAATTTATAGTAAAAATATAATTATAAAATTGGATCTTTTATTTTTGTTTATTGGTTGTGTTTTATCATCATTTTTAATGGTTTTTGCTTCTTTTTTCTCCTAATTACCCGATATTTAACAATTAATTTATCTGTTTATATCAATATTATTTTTTTCATTTTTTTGATTTATCAAATTATTAATTCGAGGCAAATTTAAATTATTGCTACAATTTACATAATAATATTATTAATTATTTTAACCAATTAGAGTATAAAAGTATATCATTTTTAAAATGCATTTTTGGCAGAACTATCAACCCGGCAATAAAAACCACTTGTGAACATTTTACTTGGTATTCTAATGATAAATCTTTACCAGTTTTTTATGTTTGCATTTATTATTTAATTTATCCGCCCACTCAGCAAATAAAACCACTAGGAAACATCTTCCATATTGTGTATTAGATGTTTCTTTCCACTAATATTTAATATGCCGAGTTTTAAAACTTTGTTTTCGTGTCTCTTTTTTCGGCATACACGAATGATTGCTACCATTTATTTGATATTTTGTTTTGATTTTTTTTACTAAAAAGTTTTGGAAAGCGTCAAACAAACAACATTTTTGTAAAAAGAATAGCGACAACTAAAACCACTTGTAAACATTTTACTTTAAACACAACATGAAAACTTGACACTATTACAATGTTTGCCTGAAAAATTGGCAAATTTTAGAAAAAAATGTAAAAAACAATAGGGGCAAACCGAAATTCACAAAACCACTTGTGATAATTAATTCTTAATATTCCGATTAAAGTTGTTATAATTTTATATTAATTTAAAAAATGCCACACCAATTGAGTTTTTTAAAACACAACGAATGGCACACATTCATCGCGCTGATGTTTGACAGTGAAATAATAAAATGATGGTTTGTGACCCACATCAAAACATTGTGGAAACGTGTTTGAAAATATCAAATTGGGTTTTGGCCGACGAATATACTTTTGAAAAATTGAGGTATTGGTTGAGATAGGGGATGTAATAAAGGTGCAATGATTATAATGGTGAAATATAAATTATTGAGCGTTATTGAACTGTTTGAAAAACAAATTCACGTTGCATTTGTTCAGATTTATTGTGTTTCCAACAAGGTGTATTCAAGTTATGAACCCAATAAACAGGACTAAAAAAGAAAAAAGTTACAGAAGGGGGTGTTGAACAAAGGTTCAGCCAAAGGTTTGAGTCTTAACGTTTTGTTTTTTTGGTTGAATAACATTTCATAATAACAAAATTTGCTTAATTTTTGAATTTAAAACGGTATTCGTTAAAATAGTTTTAATGTTAATTCTCAGATAAAAAAAATATTTTTTTTATTTTTTTTGAATAAGTCTCTTAATAGATCCAGCAAACAACCATTTCATATTACCAAAAAATAATTTAAAAACAAAAAAGTCAAAAGGCAATTTAAAATGTTATAAGAGAGTGGTCTTTCTATTTTTATGTAAAATTGACACTTAAAATAGATTTTTAAAAAAAAAACTTAAACTATACATAAAACTATAAATTTGTTAAAAAAGAACCATTTTATTTATCCAAGTGGTTTTATTCCACAAGTGGTTTTTTTCGCTGTTTATATATTTTATCAATAGAAAAACCAAATAAACCATATTTAAAGTTTAAATCACATAACAATTATAATGATTAATTATAATAATTTTTATTAAATTATAAAATAATAAATCGTAAAAAATACCCTATATAGAACCATATTTTAAAAATTTAAATAAAAGGAAATACAATTAATGGTAAACAATATTTTCTTTTGGTAAAAAAACGTAAACTCGACATGTTCATAAGAAAAGTTTTATCAAAAAAATATTTACCACTAAAAGTTATAAATATACATATTTAATTCATATTTTTAATGTTCCAATATAACCATGGTCCGGCAAGGTTTTCGCAAGATAAATGATAGCTTAATTTTGATCCAAATAACGGGTATTTTTCCTAATAAGATTTTTTGTAAATATCTCGTTTATTTGCTCAAAAATGGTTGTGTTACTTAAATCATAATGGGTCTTTTTGAAAGTTTTTGTTTGAGTAAAATATTAATTTTTACAAGTTTTTAACGTAAAAAAACGGGAAATAATAATTTGTTCTTTTTGCTTGAATAAAAATAAATTTGATGCTCTATAAATAAAGGCATTTAAAAAATAAAGGTTCTTATGAATAGATAAACATTTTAATTAAATTAACTATTAACCGATCATTTAAATAATTATTACAATCCCGAATTTATAGGGATGTATGTATAAATAAAAGGACAATATTTTTAGGTATTTATTATCTTAATAAACGGGGTGACTGGAATATTCCAAATGCAACTTCCAGAAACTTTAAAACCCTACAAAAATGTTTTTTGTTATTAACTTTTGTTCAAATTAATAAATTGTTATACTAACTCTTACTTATTCAATGAAAAGAAAAATAATACCAAATAAAAACTGAACCACTCAATTAAAAAACTTCTTAACTTTCAAGTCGTTTGAATTTTTGATCTTTTGTCAAAGAACCATGTTTTTTTCACAAGTATCAAATACTTGTTGTTCTTCGTCAAGTAAGTTCTTAGAATGTGATCGTTCGAATAAAGTGTTTCGAAAATGTTCATTTCAAACCTCATTTATGTTAAGGTTGTTGGTAGAACCAAGGTCAACACGGGCGACATTAAGTGCCGGACTGCACTAATTTACACCTTCAAGAACACAATGAACATTTCACAATGTTTTTTAAGTTTACTACTACATACGCAGTTGGAACAAACCCTTGACCTTTTTAAAAAATTATTAATCATGATTAATTTATGATTTTGTAGAAGTAAAAGAAGAACCCCCTTTTCTTTCTTAATCAACCATAATTTGTCATTAATTTTAATTTAAAACGATTTTTAAATTGGTTGATGTTTAAAACAATAATAAATCAAATAATGTTTTTTAATTAATGATATAAAATAATTGATTAAAAATAAAACATTAAATACAATATATAACATATTGTATAATATATAATATAATATTTAAACTTTTTTATCAAAAACATCTGTTTTTAATGTATTTGAATATAATGTTGTTCTTTTAATACTCTTTGGTTATTTCAAAATAAAAATATTACGTTGTTGTATTACTGTTGATGCGTTTTTATTTGACATATCAAAAACTTAAAAATCTATCAATCAACATTTGATGTTAAAATAACACATAACCAAATTCTTAAAAATTATGTGAAAGGTCCATTTTATAGTTTCTAAAAATTAAATAATTTTTATGTTTTAACAACGTTTGTGGTAATTCTTTTAAGCACAAAGTGTTCAAATTACAACATATG